GTTATTTTTCCGTTTGATTTGTACCCAAGCGGGACACTTTACTTTTCTAATAACTTGATGATTGTTGTGTCTTGAACAAAGTAGGCTAGTTAAAAATATAAAATTTGTTGTAATCATATACAAGAAATGCTATTTTTGTGAATTATTATTCTGACATAAACCTGACGAATACACGAAATATATCCTCTTCAAATGTTGACAAGTCGCGGGAATAAGCAGACGAAATTTATATAACAGATCTATAATTTCCGTGCGATTTCCCATAAATCAATACAAACCAGCATGTAATTCAATTTCAAAATTATGAAAATCTTCAGACATATATAACTATCTTACATGTTCACTGCACACAACATGACATCAGACGAGGCAACGTGGATCTGCAATCTTGCACGTGTTTATGACCTTCAAGTTCAAGCTTCCCTTTGGCTGATAGGAATACCCCGAGCATAAATAACTATGATTAAATTTGTCACAACTGTCCCTGAGCTTCTGCAATGCTTCGATAATGTTCACAGTTTGTAGATTTTACAAAACGACCATCTCAGGGTTTTCTACGGGAAATTATCTTGACATGTTGACATTCGCTACTGAACAGCGAATATTATGGCGATTGTCGCAAATCAAAGAAAATATTACGAAAAATTTATTTATTTCAAAAGAAATAGATTCAACATTACTTAAACTGACAAATTAACTAATGGTTTTTCCTTCAGTATAATTAAATATGAATTCTGCATTTTACGACTTGCATAATTTATGGAGACCCATTGACGACGTAAAATGCTAACAAGAATCCATCCTTAAAATGAAAATAATTACATACCTGAATTCAGCCATCGGGTAACACACACTATTCACCACTCTATACTACTTTCCATAACAAACAAAATCACGTGTACATCCGGGGATTTGGTACTCTCTTTCCTATAGAGATATCCAGGGTTAAATATTTAAATATTAAACAGTTGGGACTTCAAAATCACTTCGACACACAAGTCCCATGAAAGTGTTTGATACTGAGTTGATAAATACTTAGCATTTCCTTTGATGTACTATAAATTTAAACTGGGATGAGGGGACATATGCAGTTAACAAGAATTTGTTGTATTAAAAACACATCCCAATATAACTGATGGTTTTGTAGGTTGTTTTCTCTTTGTGATTGTGACTTAATAGTAAACTGGTGAGTTTCAAGGAGAATGGCATGCATATCAAGGGAAATTAAAAAAAAAATATTTTGCCAGTTGTTTTATGCTTACATGATTTTATTTGAAAGAGCAGAAGGGCAGACAACCCCTTGGTTGCATGAAGACTTTTAACTGGATTGACTTGACTTTTTTAGGTCACCTGAGTCACTTAGGTGACCTATAGCAATCTGTTTTCATCCATCGGCATGCACCATCTGTCATTCGTAGGTAAACTTTTGAAAATTTTCAACTTCTCTTCTGGAACCACTGAACCAATTTCAACCAATTTTGGTATAGAGCATATCTGGTCAAAGGGGGACAAAAATTGGTAATTTCATGGTCCCTGGGTAAGGGGTTCTGGTGTTGGGGTGGGAGCTATTGATTATATAGTGAAAATGCATAATTTCTTTGAAAATCTTCTTAACTGCTCCAGGGTATAAAGAAAACAAACTAAATGCATAGTTATGATGAGCAAGGTGTCTATTTCAAAATTTTGAATTTCATGACCTCAGGGTCAGGTGTTCAAGTTAGGATGGAGCTCTTTTGATTAAGTTGTGAAAATGCATAAATTCTTGAAAATCTTGTTATCTGTTCCTGGGCAAAAAGAAAACAAATTAAATGCATAGTTATGATTAGCAAGGGTGTCTTTTCTGAAATGTTGAATTTCATGGCTTCAGGGTCAGGGGTTCTAGTTAGGGCGGAGCTCATTTGATTAAGTAGTGAAAATACATAAATTCTTTGAAAATTTTATCTGCTTATCTGCTTTGGCTGGGTATTTAGCAGGTTAAATAAGTGCATGGTTATAATGAGCAAGGGTGCCTCTTCCAAAATTATGAATTTCATGACTCCTGGGTTAGGGGTTTTAGTGTTTGGCGGGGCTCTATTAATATAGAAAAAACGCATAAATTCTTTGAATATCTTCTCCTAGATATTAAGCAGATAAACTAAGAGTGTGGTTATGATGAGCAAGGGTCAGTATCACTTGAAATGGGTCCTTATAACCATATATTGACTTACACTGAAGTTCATAATTGTTTAATATCACTCATTCATGCATATTTTAGCATTATTGGTTATCGTTGAGTTGAATTCAAAATTAAATTTAATGCAAAAATGATAACATTTTAACATCCAAATCCTAATATTAAATACAACATATTTATTACTCATCTCTTTTGAAACACATGACTATTATGCATCATAATATTTCTATAAATTTTCCTAATTTGATTTTCAGGGCAATGAGTTTTTGCATGTTGCATTTGATACATTCATGTAATGCTAGATGAACATGCAGTCTAATTCTTGCTCTTGAGAAATGCTATAGTACTTTATATGGCCAAAAGTAGATTTCAAGATTTACATGTAAAATATGTGATATTTTATCAATATCAGGATAACAAATGTGAAACAGGTAAATTCATGATCAAACCTTTGGTTTCAAAGTTTTAGAAGGAACATTCTTTTGTTAGTATGCAATGTAGCAGAAAAACAAGGAACAGATAACTCCAGTTTTACTCAAATTCTTTGATCAGTGAAGGGAGTTCTGATTATCAAAATGGCAGATAAGAATTTTAAGAATGTAGATAAGATGTACTGAGTTTTTCCTTTATATGGATTATTACTGGATTTGGAGGTATAAGAACACCCAAAAAGGTTTAATTCGGCACTATTTTGCAGTTACTACGATACAAATCCTTCAAAATTGTGCAAGACTGGATTCGCTTTGTTCTGCTACATTGCAGCTACATTTGATATGTATATGGGGCATATTCTAATGCCCTGTTCACATGAATTCTGCTTGCATATTAAATATTTAATTCACTGACAGTAAATTAATGTGGTTAATTAATGAGATTGATTTACTGTATATTTTTAAATTTTGACCTTTGCTCGGCACTCAGGGCCATTGAGCAGTAAGGGATCTTTATTGTGCCGACACCTGCGGTGACATGGGGCCTCGGTTTTTAAGGTCTCATCCGAAAAACCTGCAACTTTCATTTCAAAGTGCGTAGTACATGGCGAAGGAACAGTTGATACCTATTTTTTATCCACTTAGGTCTGTCGCGGCCGAGATTCGAACTCATGACCTCCCGATCATGGAGCGAGCACTCTACCGACTGAGCTACCGTGAACGGTAAAATAATGAGATTTAAACCAATGAAAATTAAATTGCATTCAAGCAATCATTGCAATCACCTCATGCAGAGCAGATTTCATTTCATATAATGTCATAGTGTCGGTACACATTTTTAGTGATAAACTTAATTTTCCATTGTTTGTCTCTCAAAAATAGCATAAGTACTTGTATCTGACCATAGGCATATGGCTTATTTGTGCTTTTACATATGCATCAAAATTTAATTTGAAGTAGCACTTTAATATTCACACGGAATTAATGTGAATTTGATATGAAGTAAATTAATTTTAATTAACTTATTCATATTAAATTATCCGTGTGAACGCAGTCCAAATTTAGTTTTCAGTAAATTATGTTTAATTTGAATGAAACTCTCTGTGTGAAAGTCATAACTGTGGTGAGGGCCTGTCCTGAGACAGAATTAGATTCTTTTAACTAGGATATGCTGTACGTAATAGTGTAATTGCTATGCTATTGTATTGTTTATGAAGCAGACTGTCCTCCGTATAAGTGTAGTCTTTGAAGTACTGGGGTCCGTTTTACGAAAGTACTTACGACTAAGACCAAAATTTGATTCTGCTTATTGCTTTCTAATTTACATTCATTTGAAAATGGTTTTAATTTTTTTAAAAAGAATTTAACAAGATATTTTTATGCTAGCAATTTCAAACATAATAAATAATTTTGCAAAATTTTACAATCAACTAAAGATTTTGGTCTTAGTCGTAAGTTCTTTTGTAAAACGGGCCCCAGGTATATGTCATAATGTTAATGACAAAAGAAGATAGCAAAGGAATTATTAAAACCCCACTTGAAAAAGTGGGGGTTATAAAGTGATGGGTGTGTTTGTCTGCAAGTCTGTAACACTTTGGAGTATCTATATCTTATCCACAACTCCCAAAGGGTTAATTTAGGTCTTAAAATCAAAGGCCTTGGCCTTTCCATTTTACATTCAGTTAATCAGTTTTTTTTAGCATGTCTTAAATTATATATACACGTATATATTTTGAACACCATTCCTGATACACTTTACTGAGTTCGGACATTTAACCAATTAGTTTGTTTCAATTGTCTTTTGGGAATTTTCTTTTATGAAATTGGAAAAAACATATACTTTTTACCAAATTGAGAATGGGGCAGAATACAGGCCCCCTATGACCCCTAAAAAAACCCTGACTCCTCCTATACCCCTGAATAAAATTAAATGTGACTTTCACAGTATCTTTATATATAGTGACAGCACCTCCTACTTTCTACTCAATTGGACAGATATTTGGGGTTTCCCATAGCAAAACCTGGTCACTGCAATTCTTTCTATAATATTTGGGGTACCCATCTCGTATCCGCAACTCCTCCTTATAAAATTTAGTGAGACTTTCGCTAAATCTTTATTACATAGTGCCATTGTTCACCTGCTATTTTATGTTCTGATCAGATAGATATTTGGAGTTTCCCATAGCATAAAAAAGACTTTGCCATTTTATTAATGTGAGAGTGGAAGGTAGTGGGGTTGGGGGTGTTATCATTTTAGCTCAGTGCTCACAGCACCTCTAGTTTTTTGTGTTTTTTGTTTTTTGCTTTTTTTTTGAATAGCTGTTTAACAAGCTGACCCATTTTAGAAATAGAGACCTTTAAAATTATTATCATTATCCTAGATTTCTTTTTCTCAGGGAGTGTAGAGAGATGTAAACCAGGACATTACAAACCTAGAGCTAATGGAAGTATCTGTGTGCCCCATCAAAAGTAAGTGGAAAGATACTGTGAATTTTTTAAAATTAAAATTAATGCTTTGTGGTAAAAGAAGAACTGGCAAATGAACAAAGAGTAAAAGAGACATGTCAGTATTATGTTTGTTTCTTCATCTTCTACATGCAGTAATGTATAAGGAATATGTCATACTAGGCAAGTGTTAATTTTGATGAAGTTTCCATTTCAAAAGTTAAAAGGAGTCACCTCTTTTTGATTTTTCATAAATTCAAATGCTGAGAGAGATCTCCTTGATTTTCAATCTGCAATAAGGGCAAGATGCTTATGGCTGTTTTTCAGTCAATTATTGAATGTACAGGGGTAAACTTATACCAAATCATATCACAGATAACATGGCTTCATATCCCTTCATTCCCTTGCATGCAAGTCCTTTAAAAGGGCCCTGTCCCAATTGAAAATTGACTCTTTTTTTCCCAATATATTAAAGTAAAAATTCCCAGATGACAAGCAGAGGGAATTTTCAGTGGTCTTTATCAACGAAATTGAATTTTAAGATCGTATAAAAATATGCATCAAGGGAAGGCCTACAATCTAATTGGGGCTGGAAAAAATATGTTTGTTTCCGCTTTCAGGCTGAAAAAAATTAGGTAGATAGGCAATTTTTTTTTTTTGAATTTTTTTTACTTGCTTCTTTAATCAAAACATCTATAGAAGTAATACTAATGACAAAGGAAATGGTGTTTTCAAGCATTTCTGTGGCTTTAATTTATAGTAGAATTTTTCATGACAGGAACCAACCTAGACCCATACTTCAGGGAGACTTCACATCTCCCTCACAATAAATTAGGGAGAAATTTAAAAAATCCTGGAGACTTAATATTTCTACAATAAACAACTGACACCCTCTCTTCAATTTTTTTAACACAAAAAAAACAAGTTTTATATAATATGTTTATATATGAAATGAATTTAAATTTTGTAATTAAGGACATTAGCAAGTCAAGGTTTTTCGGAGAAAAAAGGTTTAATACATGGGTTTTTTCACTTATGAAATAGTGATTGAGAGTGATCTCCCGTGTAGAATTCTCTAAGCAGTGAAAACCAATAAAGCGTATGTTTACAGAGGTAAACAAAAGCACGTGTACTTCCTTCAACGGGTAGAATCATCTATAAAGCAAGAAAGAAAAGTAGTAATGGCTTTGTTGTAAATTGTATTATGGGGACAAAGAGCCAACAAGTCGTCATTTACCATAGTTATGCTCAGTATGCTAGAAAAGGCAAAGATGTGACATATACTGAAAGGTAGACCAACTGAAATCAGTTCTCAGGTTGTATGATTTAGGAAGCAGCATTTAGTAACTACGAATAAAATTTGAAATTAATCCATGCCAATATTTTTATGACAATGTGTTTCAATCAATTCAGTCAATAACATGATAGAATCAATCAACCAGTCTGACTCTCTTGACCATTATGAATAATATGTAATTATAGCTGTTAAGGGAAGTAACTCAAAAATAAAGCTCGGTGCTGGTATGTCCATGTCTTGTTTCTACATATAAGTTTCAGCCAAAATATCTAGATGTCATAGGAAATAAAGATACAATAATGTATATAATACAAAAACTGTATGAAATAAGTGGGTTTTGGAGAAATATTATGGTGAAAAATTAGGTAGGTCCCTTTTATCAACATTTTACATAGGAAATGCATTGAGAATTGCAAAAACACTGATTTGACAAAATCTAAAAAAGAAGGCTGGCTTGGTAAGTTAAACAATCCAGGATATAAACTTTAGTACAATTAAACCTACTAAAGAGTTCTTGAAAAATTCTGTATGATTACATTCAGGATTGATTAAAAAAAAATTGGTGGACATATTTGGGGGGATAATTTTCTTAAATGTTTATGTGTACTTTATGTAGTAACATAAGTGAAATAAATGCATTGAATAGGCCTATGTTATTGAGAGAATTAATTATAAAAAAAGATAAGGAAAAAATGTTGGATGTCATTTTTTGTGCCTCTAGGGTATTAGTCTAACCTGTCTATTTATATCTGTAGTGCATGTTTGTACAGATACAGTAGCATATTGATAACTTTCATGATAAATGTAATGATTTTTATGATCAGGATATTAATTGTCTTGAATGGCATGAAAGTACCTTTAAAATAACTAATTACACAACATTGCTGGTCATTTACTAGATGTGTTGTATCACTAATTTAGATACTATCCCATGAGGATTACTGTCGAGATTTTCAGAATTGTTGCTGTGAAAACGGCTTTATGGGGGCTATGTATTACACTCTCCTCTCTAATTAATTTAAGGAAGATGATTTTATGATGGTAAAAGAAAGTAGAAAGGAACTGAAACTTCTCTTTGTCTTGAAAAGCTTGCGAAGTTGGCGACTATTTCACCCAAGTTGCTTTTGCACATGTTGCATGGTACATAAGCATTTAAAAGTTAGGGTCAGCACTATAAATTAGGGTCAGTGGGGAAAACGGAAACATTTTTTTCCTAGACCTTGTCATTACTTTACACTAAAACATGGAATATATCATCAATATTTCCAAATTTTAAAACTTGTTTTTTGATATAAAATTCCAAGTTGAGAGGTACAGGATGCCGTACCAAAAAAGATCAATTAAGCTTTGAGATATATTGTTCACAAAATCTGAAACCTCAGTCATTCAAAATATGATATTGGTTGAAGGCGATGAATCAAAAACCTCAATGAAACTAGCATTGGGATTGTGCGTCAGCATGTTTACTCATGCAGCTACTTTTATCATGCATTTATGATTGTAAAATTGAATAAAACAATTTTCTAACTCCAATTTTTAGCTCACCTGAGCTGAAAGCTCAAGTGAGCTTTTCTGATCACCCGTTGTCCATCTGTCTGTAAACTTTTCATATTTTCAACTTCTTCTGAAAAGCCACCCAGCCAATTTTAACCACAGTTTGTACAAAGCATCCTTGAAAGAAAGGGAGTTTAAATTGTTAAAATGAAGGGCCAACTCCCTTTATAAGGGGAGATAATCAAGAAAAGACAAAAATAGGGTGGGGTCATTAAAATACTTCTTCTAAAGAACCAGAGGTCAGAAAAGCTGAAACTTATGTGGAAGCTTCCTGAGGTAGTTTACATTCTATATTATTCAAATCATGATCCCCAGGGGTAGGATGGGGCCACAATAGGGAATCCAAATTTTACATTGAGATATATAGGAAAAATCTTTAAAAATCTTCTCAAGAACCACTGGGCCAGAAAAGCTGAAACTTATGTAGAAACCTCCTGAGGTAGTGTATACTCTAAATTATTCAAGTCATGTCCCCCCAGGGGAAGGTTGGGGCCACAATAGGGAATCAAAGTTTTACATTGAAATAAATGGGGAAAATCTGTAAAAAATCCTCTTCCCAAGAACAGCAAATCCATGACTAGTCATATTAATTCAGAAGCATCCTTAGTAAGTGTAAATTCAAGTTTGTTCAAATCATGTTCCCTTGAGGTAGGGCAGGGCCACAGTAGTTCAAACATATAGAAAAAAATCTTTTAAAGCCATGATTAGTCAAAAAAATATGGAAGCGTCCTCAGTTAGTGTAGATTCAAATGTGAACAAATGCCCCTCCCCCTTTCATGGCGATCACTTATGTATTTAATCTTTTCAATACTAAACTGATTTCTGCTTTTTTCTATCCAATGTGCTCAGGTGATTGATGTGGCCCATGGGCCTCTTTGTCTAATTTACAACAGAAATGATCACATTTTTGCCTGTTTTGCAGGAGAAGCATAATATTTTTTATGTTGCAATTCCATTTGATTGATTGATTTAAATGTTCACATGTAGTTGAAAATTTAAATGTAGATGATTCTTTTGTTGGACAGAAAATGCTCAGAAAACCCTGCATTTAAGGAAATGCTTTTGCATTTGGATGCCATTATTTATTCTTCTTACCCAAAATTAATTTGTCAGTTATGCAGCTTAGATCGTTCAAATTTCAAGAGTGCTTTACATCCAATAAAATTTCTCTTTAGATGAAATTTGAAAATAAAAAGATGCATTTTGAATTACCTATTAAGTACCTTTTAAGGTAAAATTGACTTTGAAAATTGTGCTATTTCATAGGTGTTCTAGGACCTATAGTTGATACATGTAAGTACATTAAAAAGGCAGTAGATTTACTTTCAGTATACTCCTGGTATTTTCCCTCAAGTGCAGTCCATGGTGTGGGTTTGTTCTTCCCTCCATGTAACAATGTGTTAGCTCCATCCAACCTTTGATCTGCAGTTGTAATATTATCCCTAAAATATGTTACATTTATCATCACAGTTGTTTAGTTGTATGCATGTAATATGCAATATTTTATAATTTTAAAATAAACAGATGCCAGTTTGGGTACCGTATTAAGAATCAAGGGACCACTACTACTGACAGCGAATGTGAGGAAATACCTACAGAGAGAGAGACAACTCCACAACTGCCTACAGATCGTGAAAAAAATGACACCTATGTTCCTGATGTAAAAGGTAAAAATTAATAGCTTTAAAAAAGTTAGAATGGAAATGAAAATACATAATTCAAGTTGAGGACTACAGAAATTGATTAGATTTTGATTTAATGTACAGTCATACCTCGTTATCTCAAACTCGATGGGACCAAGAAATATGAGATATCCTAAGATTCAAGATATCAAAAGTAAAATTCTTAGAATACCGAGTAAGTGGTTTGGACTTCCAAATCACTTCGACATATCCATGGTATTCGAGATAATAGTGTTGGAGATACTGAAGTTCGACTATTATTCTGAAACTCCCATGAAATCCGAGTAATTTGGTATTTTTCAGAAAATCATGGTGGTACTTCAGGGCTCTCGATTGTCTATAATTGGGTCCGTTCAAGGGCCCCATTCCCAATTCAAAATAGTACCTTTATAGCTCACCTGAGCTGAAAGCTCAAGTGAGCTATTCTGATCACATTTTGTCTGTAGTCCATTTGTCTACCTGTCTGTCTGTCCATCCGTCTGTAAACTTTTCACATTTTCGA